TCCCCGACCTCCTCATTCCTGCAGACCAGGGAGATGTGGAGCAGCTTTTCTCACCCCGGAGTACAGGGGCGGCGGGACCGCGAGGTCCCGCAGTCTGTGTCCTCCGGGGCGAGAAAAGCCCTATTCGTACCTGCAAGTCGGGGACTGCCTGTATACCTGCATATACCCGGCGTATAAGACGACCCCCGATTTTTGGGGGATGTTTTTTAGCATAAAAAGTCGTCTTATACGCCGGAATATACGGTAAATGTTTGTTTTTAGATTTCCTGCTGTACTACCTCATAAAACTATGACATAAAATAAGAGAAGCTGTAACGGCAGAAAAAAAAATCAACATACATTGGAGCACATTATGCATAAACCAGATGTTAAAATGCTTGCATAAAATGAGAATAACCATTAATCTTTGTCTTTTGTATTTCATTTTAATGTGAGAATTTCTGTATGTTACGGTCAGGAAACGTCAGGAAATGTGAGCTATAAATAGAAAGGCCTTTCCCTGGTTGGTCTCAGAAAGTACTCACATTGTGAACAGCTTCATAATTCATTTGTGCTTCAGGTACAAGGACAAAGTGAGACATGGAGATATTTGCCATGTTTCATAATGACATAATTTATCATCTGCCTTCTGGACATTAATTTCTGAGGTTTTTTTATCTGTCCTATAGGCTGGACTCAGGAAATGGTGGCATTTCCATTCAAAATGATTGTGTGTGTGGGAGGGGAGGAGGGAGGATCAGTATGGGACTATATTATTTTCTATAACTATTCTTGAAGTTTGAGTTTTGATCCAATGCACCATCTCCATCACCTTATTATTACCTTAGGCAGCACTAATAGCATATTAAATGTCTATAACTTGTAAATGAGGTAGGTGATGACAACTTTCTTGTTATGTGCTAAGACAAAACCAATGTCATCAAATTGGCATCCAAATGTCACTCAGGCTGTGTCTAGACTACATGCCTCGGTCGGCAGAGGCATGTAGATTAGACAGATCAGCAAAGGCAAAGGAAGCCGCGATTTAAATGATCGCGGCTTCCTTTGCCTTTGCTGATCTGTCTAATCTACATGCCTCTGGCGGCAGAGGCATGTAGATTAGACAGATCAGCAAAGGCAAAGGAAGCCGCGATTTAAATGATCGCGGCTTCCTTTGCCTTTGCTGATCTGTCTAATCTACATGCCTCTGGCGGCAGAGGCATGTAGATTAGACAGATCAGCAAAGGCAAAGGAAGCCGCGATTTAAATGATCGCGGCTTCCTTTGCCTTTGCTGATCTGTCTAATCTACATGCCTCTGGCGGCAGAGGCATGTAGATTAGACAGATCAGCAAAGGCAAAGGAAGCCGCGATTTAAATGATCGCGGCTTCCTTTGCCTTTGCTGATCTGTCTAATCTACATGCCTCTGCCGACAGAGGCATGTAGTTTAGACGTACCCTCAGAGAAGTCCTGTGTCACACAGCAATGGGAAGAGTTACTCTGGAAAAAAAAAAAAAAAAAAAAAAGATTCCCTTAACAGCCACTTTAAGAAAACTTCTAGCTCTATGAATTTGTGAATTTGCTGTCAAAGGTATGTCCAGATATAGAAATGACTACCTAGCTCACATTATCTGAGACAATATGATTGATGTCATTGCCCTGCAAGAAACCCGCATCAAAGATGACACCAAAGAATCACACTGCCATACTGCTGGCGACAGGCTTATCTCCTCCCTCCATCATCCTAAACATGGCCCTGCCACATACATACACCAAGCAAGGTATCAAGGACTATGACATGACAGGAACCAGGAATCATCAGGCCAGAGCTCCCCATCAGACTTTTTTTCCTGAGGGTCTTACAAAATTCCATAAAAATAAGTGATAGCTACGTTAACAGCTGCTCTCTCTGAGGAATATATGACCTCATGCTGCAATTCATCTCCTTTAAGTCTTCTCCAATCAGGTAACAAACTATGGAAGATTTCAATGAAAGCGGGTTAAATGCCTGTATCTAAACAAGCTATACTTTGGTATTTACGTGAAGAGAAATGTCACGTTCTTCAGAGTTGGTGCAGTAAACCTGAGCAGATCATGGGCAAAAAAAAAGCTAACTCCTGGAGAGCTTCTAGACATCTTGCCGAACTCTTCAGGTTTTTGACTCAGTTCTGATCTTGCCAAAACATGAAACTCTTACTACAGCAAACATTTCTAGAATTTCAAATATAACGTACCTGAATAAGAACAGAGAACTCACCACCAACTGTGCACCCCCACAACAGAAATACTAAACTAGAAGCCAGTCTGCAACAAACCTCCTTGCCAACTCTGTCCACACATCTTCCTAGGCTCTGGTCTACATTATGGCTTTATTATGAAATAACCCCCTTTAGGTCGAATTTATAAGTGGTGCGTCCACACTACCAAGCCTGCAATTCCAAAATAAAGGGCTGCTTATTTAAAAAGCTGTACTCCTGCTTTCCTTGGGGAATAATGCTAATTTTGAAATAGTTATTTTGAAATAGCATTAGTGTGAACGCTCCAGTGCCACTATTTCAAAATAACTACTCCCCAGAGTAATTCAAGCTAATTACTTGTGCTTCCTGCAGCTGTAAGTCAAGGTAGCACATCCACATTAATGGAGCCAGCCATGGACTAATTTTGAGGTCTCTCTGTAGTGGGGACATGGTATTTTGATTAAGTCAAATTTAGAAATAGTTTTCTAGTGTAGACATGGCTTAGTGTCACCATCATAGGACCTAATCACAGCAGCTATACCATCAAAGGCTCAGTCACTTGCATGTCTACACATGTGATACATGCCATCATGTGCCACCAATGTCCCTTTGCCATGTACATTGGCAAACTCTCTCTACACAACAGAATAGATGGACACAAATCAGCCATTAAGAATGGTAACAGCAAGAAAACATTTTAAATCCCTGTCACTAAGTTACAGACATGAAAATTGCCATTCTCAAGCAAAAAAAACCTTCAAAAACAGGCAGCTATGTGAAACTGCTAAGCTGGAATTCATATGCAAATTTGACATCATGGGACTGGGTCTGAATAGAGAATGGGAATTGCCCTTTATGACAATAAGAAATTTTCCCCATTATGTATTCTTATCTTCTTATTCACATTCACCCTGTTTGAATTAGCTCTGATGTAAAACTCCCATTTCTGTGTATCAACTATCTGTTCATTTTTCTTTCGCTTCATGCATCTGACGAAGTGAGTTGCAACTCATGAAAACTTATGCCATAATAAAATTGTTAGTCTTTATCAGGCTATTTAATGTCAGAACTGACTGATTCTGTATTGCAATGCTTATTGCAGGGGCGGCCAACCTGAAGCTTGCGAGCTGCATGTGGCTCTTCCCACCCTGCCCTGGGTGCAGCTCGCAAAGCCCCCACTGTGGCTTGAAAGCCGCCCCGTGCCCCCCAAAACGGCCCTCTCCTCCTGGCTTCCTGTGTTGACGTGGGCAAGGGAGCCATCCGGCACAGCCATAAGAGCTGCAGAAATAAAGAAGGCGGCTGGCGGTGGGAGCCTGCTGTGGCCAAAAAGCCTCAATACGCATTTAACTGTGGTTTCTTAAAGGGGCAGACCCTTTTTATGAGACCTTTTTTGTTTGTTTGTTTGACCAAATGCTACTGGGAGCGCCTTTTAAAGGGGCAAAAAGGGCAGTCCTTTTTTCTTTCTTTTTTTGCTTGATAACTTTGCCCTGTCTCTTCACACTGGATCCACAGCTATCTTGGCTCTTTGCCCAGAATGGGTTGGCCACCCCGGCTTATTGTATACTTATTTATACATGAGGAAAGTATCCGCAAATTGGGTGTAAAATGCTGCTATTCCAATTTGAATGCATTTTACACCCATTTTGCATTCACTGTATACAGGCCCAAAGACTAAATGATTTAGCTTACTGACATAATAAGGTTGTCTGAGTAAAAACAGTAAAAATTAATGGAAGAGATCAGGATCTGGCCCATGATCTGGCAAAAAGAAAATAGCTTCAAGCTCATCTAGAGGAGAATTCACAATCTCACTTTGGCAGCATTGTTTGTCTTTAGTATCCTTCTTCTACCCTTCCTTTGTCCTATCCATAACACAAAGTGTTCAGAATGTCTGTTTTGTATCCAAGAAGTCACACAGTGTAGTAATGGGGTTTTGTGGAAAAGTATAGAAGAGGCTTGAGCCATTGAAAATCAAAGATTTATGTCCAACTACATGCACTTACTATGATACAATTATAGGTCACCATTATTTAGGGATAATGACACGTATAAAAAGCCAAACAAAAACCAAAGGGCAGCAAATGCTGATGTTTTTATAGGGGAAAAAAACGCATGTGTAAGAATAATGATAGCTGGAGCCACTGTGGTAATGATCAGATAAAGGAAGGGCAGCAGGCATGTTTCCATGTAGATACTAATATATGACTCTTTTTATCTCAAGAGGGTCTGACACCGGATTTCAATTATTTTGCTAGGTATTGTACATTTAATAGGGGTCTTATCAATTAAATTCAGAAAGAGTAACCAGAAGAGAGTTAGCTAGAATATCATAATGTCCCTGGCTCAGAGACGACATGACAAATATGCCTTCTTTCTGTTCACAGTAAACATTGAAACCAATAATCAACAACAACAACAACAACCCCATATAGATACAACATAGCCACATTTTACACTTTTTATTTAGGTTTAGATCAACAACACAGAAAATACTTTGGTCAAACACAAGAAGAAGAGGTTGCCATGTAGTTCTTTCTGGCTGCAATAAACACGGTAACATGGAAAAATGCTGGTGTCTTCATGAAACACTGAATGTATATCTTGGATTGGCACACAGAACTAATAAATACAATGTTTGTAGATAGCATTTGAAAACAGACTTGCACATGCAAGATGTAACCAGGCTACTGCTCACCTTCACCATTGTCCCTGTACTATTTTTACACTTAGTTCTTTGTCCCCCATTTTCTCAGCCACAAACAATACAATTTGCTCCTCTGCTCAGCATTTCAATGACCACAGTTGGTAATTTTGTGACCTGCTTGGATAAGGTTGCTTTAGTCCAGAATTGGTATCTGCTTGAAAGGTTTAATTGAAATATCATGCATTGTAAGTTGCAGTGGGTCACCACCACGGTGAGGGGACTGTTGGTCTTGTAAGCTGATCATGAGAGAATATTACTGAGCAGACATAGTATAGGGACTTGTGTGTGAATGCAGCTCTTACAATACCAAGAGTCAATAGTACTACTGCACAAAGAAAGACAAATCAATAGTATATTGTACAAGCTTGGTCAATAACACAGGTTGATTTGCAATACTGTACAGTTTTAATCTAAAGTGCACAGCCTCAATCTGAGGTGACAAACATACTATCAATATAATAAAGGCAACACAATTACAGACACAATTTATCTCCTCTTCTTACATCACAGCCTCATGACATTACATTGAATCAATACCCCATTTATGTATTTTAGGTCAAATTAAACTACACTGCACTAGTTTTCTTCAAGTATTTTAGAGAAAGTAAAACAATCTTGTTTTACAACCAAAAGTGGCCACGTAGATTCCAGTCAAAGCTACAACCAAAACCTAATTAGGGTTGTACATAGAACCAGATCGGAACCATTAAATCCTGATCCAAGCTCTTCCAGATTTTCAGGAAGAGGAGGTTGAATCTCAGTTTTCTCTAGTGTTGAAGAATGATTCAACATATCTGCTATACAGGATTTAGCACCCATGACTTCTGAATGGGTGTGCATGACTATATCGTGACTGTGCTATGAGTATCTGGGCATATCTCAAATCATTATACTAACATTTCAATTAAACTCCACGTAAAGCTGGTTGGTAGATTTAATTGAAACACTTTTTTATCTGAAAAAGCCATTTTGAGCAAACTGACGTTTTCACAAAGTTGTACTGAGAAAGATTTCCTGTCCCAGCTCTCTCCCCCCCCCCCAAAAGAATTTCCAGAATTTTCATTTTGGGGGAAATTGCGAAAGCATTTGTTTTTGTTCCAATTCAAAATAACAATTTTCAAGCTTTTCTGTGAAACTGAAATTCTGAATTTCCACCAGCTCTCCCCCAATGCCAGGAGTGGGTTTACAGAAATTATTGTCTTGAGGGAAACTCAGATTTCACCATGACATGAGCATCTGACTTAAGATTCCCCTCTTGAGACCTTCACATATGCAAGAAGTCCTTATTCACCCAATTAGCATTATGCCAAATAGTTTTCCTAGGATCGGGGTCTTAGAAAATTTGAGTCAAATGTAGTTTTCAATTTATGTATATCTCTAATGAATCAATCACTGTTTATAAAGACGCTTGTGACACTAGTATTTAGTCTAAAGTGTGTCCCTTTTTGGATGGGCTGTTTATAAGTAAAAGAAATAAACCAGAAAATTTAACCATAATTCAGACTTGGTTAGGACTGTGTATTGATTGTCCATTTGCTTAGTTTGGGAAACATATTTAGGAATAATAACATCTTATTGTATTGTAATAGTTATAAGAGTTTTTAAGAGCTGCAGTAGTTGTGAGGTTTTGCAGTGCTTAACCCGAGAGATGCACAATCCATATGACATATAGAAATGAGGCACTGTACCTTTTAAGAATTTATGTGGGCTTATGGTTCAAAATAAACTTTGTAGATATTGGATGCGCCTCCATTAAAAGAAAAAAAAAATCTTCTTTAGTTTTCTGTTTCTGCCCCTGCATTTTTATAACCCATATAAAATAAAAATCTATAATGTACAAAATAGGATATTTTAATATATATATATATATTTTCTTTTTAAAATTATATGTATTTAAATACATTTGACATGTTGCTATAGATAAATTAGAAATTCTGTGCTAAATCTAAGAAAAAGGCAAAATATTTTCACTTTTAAACCTAAAGTTTGTTTACTTTATGCATCTTACTGCGCCCCCAGTTTGTTTTTGTCATCATTTGGGGCAAATTTGGCACCACTCAGTCTGACTACTTTTAACCTAAAATATTTATTTACTAACTGTATTAAAATTTTGGGGAAAATTGTAAGTATCTTCTGTTATTTCTTATATCTGTTTGAATGCAGCCTTTTGTGTATCTAATTACTAAAGGGGTATTCTAAAACTCAAGAGAAGATTTAAAAGGAGCATGTTTCTTGATTTTAAACTGTACTCTACTTTGACACCACAATATAGAAATAGATTTACTTTAGAACAAACTACAAATACATTCACACAGTTTGTGACAACTTATTTGTCTGTTGAGAGGTTCTGGACTAGACTTATAGACCAGATTATTATAAATCTTGTCCCAGACGCTCTATTTCCTCAATCAGGAAATCAATGTCATGATGAGTAGCTGCTGGGTTTGATATGACCATACGGAAGAAATTCACTTTGTCTCCCAGGGGTTGATAGCTGACCATAGTAGTTCCATATTCCATCATTCTGGCTTTTATCACTGGGGCCACCTGCAAAGGCATGGTAAATAATTATTTCTAATTCTAGATTTTTTTTAATAAGAGAAGAAAGCTAAAACAAAACAACAAAAAAGCCCATTATTGGCCCCAAACTAATAGGCTGCGTCTAGACTGGCAAGTTTAAACTGTTTAAACTGTCCGCTTGATTTTGCGCAAGAGCACTGATGTTCTACTGTCCGAAATCAGTGCTTTTTCTTAAAATGCTTTGATGTTCCTGTTCGGGCAAAAGCCCTTTTCTGGAAATGCTTTTGCGCAAAAGGGCCAGTGTAGACAGCTAAAAACTGTTTTGTGCAAAAAAGCCCCGATTGCGAAAATGGCGATTGGGGCTTTCTTGCGCAAAACTGCGTCTAGATTGGCACGGACGCTTTTCCGCAAAAAGTGCTTTTGCGGAAAATCATCCGTGCCAATCTAGATGCTCTTTTCTGCAAATGATTTTAATGGAAAAACTTTTCCATTAAAAGCATTTGCGGAAAATCATGCCAATCTAGACGTAGCCATATAGTACAGAGTAAACTGATCAATTTATAAATTGGAGAGGGCACAAAAAAGAGCCATGTGAATGACTAAAGGATTAGAAAACATGCTTGATAAGATGCATGAGCTCCATCTAGCTTGACAAGGATAATGTTAAGGGGTGAATTGATTAAAATATCTACATATCTATATGGGAAACAGTGTTCCCTGTAATCTGAGCATTTGGGCGGTCACCCAAGAGAGATTCAAATGCCTGCCAGATGATTAGCAGAGCATCTAGAGTGCCCACAGTTGACAGCATCTGTTTCTACAGGTGGTGCACATCTGCACACATCTTGGTGCAAAATTTATTCTGCATATGGATGGAAAAAATTAGAGGGGAACACTGATGGGGAACAATGATTCAATAATGGGCTCATCCATCTAGCAGAGAAAGGTATAACATGATCCAATTGCTGGCAGCTGAAGCTAGATAAAATCAGATTGGAAAAAAGTGGTAAATTTTCAATAGTGAAAGTAATTAATGCTGGGGATAATTTACCAAGGGCTGTGGTGGATTCTCTGTCTCTGATAATTTTTAAATCAAGACTGGATATTTTTCTAAATGATAAGCTCCAGGAACTGTTTTGGGAAAGTTTTATGACCTGTGTTATATAGAAGGTCACACCGGATGCATCTGGTCTTGGAATTTATGTCTCTATGAAAGTACTGCATCAAACAGGAATTGGTGGCATTAAACCTTATTGTGCTCTTATTGCAATCAATGAGAGTTTTCCACTGCCTTTGGCTCTAACTCACCAAGATAGTCATTAGGTTTGGTCGATAATTTTTCATCAAAACAATTTGTTACCTTTTTTGTCTGAAAATTGGATTTTCAACTAAATAGACGTCTGCTTTCCAAGGGAAAATTGAATATTTAATTGAAAAAGCACATGACTGAAACCCAACAAGTTTGTGGTATTCAGCTGAAAACTGAAATATTTTGTCCAAACTCCACAATATTTTTATTTAGATATGCCAATGCAATGCCTTGGGAGAGGTGAAATTTGGTTACCTCATGTCTCCATTCTTCTCCGTGAGGTAGGCTTCCCAGGTAGATATTAATTCCCATGATGCACTGTGGCCATGGGAATCCCAGGATGCACTGCCTCCTCTCACCAGCTACAGAGATCAAGGTGCACCATGGGAGATGTAGTTGGACCAGGGAGACCAGCCTGTAAAGGACCTTGGTGAACTTTAATTCCTATGTGCACTGTGCAGCACTTCCAAATCAAAATATTTCCATTTTTGCTGAAATATTTTGGATTTTGATTTTTCATTGAAAAGTCTAAATTTTCAATGAAAAACTTCAGGTTTTTTTCATTGTTGTAAAAAATTGATGGAAAAAAAAATCATTGTCAAGATCATCTCCATGATGTATGCACATGTCTAATTTCAAGTATGTGAGTCCCATTGACTTTTGGTAGGGATCCAGGCAGAAGTGCAGGTAAGTGCCCAAGATTGTTTGACCATCTGATTTGTCACCTTCCCATTTTCGGTAAAAACAACAGGGGTTAACTTTACATGTATCAGAAGACTTTACAGGATATTGCCAAGGCAATCATGACATCTTGCAAAGACACACACCCATTCTTTAGAAGTATAGATTCAAATTAAATAGCTCAAATGGCTCAGAACTTTTCTAACCTGTGCGCTAACCACACACAGTATTGCTGACCAGTGCAATTAACACTATCATTTTCTGCATAATCCTTACACATTTTGTAATAATTATTTTCCCTTTGTTTTCATAAACTAGACCTACACCACAAACCAAATTTAAGCCTTTTGTCATATTGCCACATTTGGGGGCTCACCAATTGGAATTTAAATTCTTAACACCAAGGGCAACCTGGTTCAAATAAGCACCATACAGAAAAGCCACCAAGAAAAAGTAAACACAACATATAAGTCACACAGAACAGCACTTGGGTGAACTAAATTATGGGCACATTTTATAAACCCATAAACCATTAGAACGAAACCATTAGAACATAATATAAGAATGGCTATACTGGGTCAGACCAAAGGTCCATCTAGCCCAGTATCTTGTCTTCCAACAGAGGCCAATGCTAGGTGTCCCAGGGAGAATGAGAAGAACAGGTAATCCTTCCTCTGTCACCTTTTACAGCCTCTGACAAACAGAGGCTAAGGACACCATTCCTACCATCCTGGTTAATAAGCACTGCTGGGTGAATTTATCTTGTCCTTTATCTAGTTATCTAGGTCTATCTAGTTATCTTTCTAAGTATCTAGTTCTATCCATGAATGTATCGGTTCTTTTTTGAACCCTGTTAAAGTCCTGGTCTTCACAACATCCTCTGGCAAGGAGTTCCACGGATTGTGCGTTGTGTGAAGAAAAACTTCCTTTTGTTTGTTTTAAACCTGCTAACTATTCATTTCATTTGGGACCCCTAGTTTTTGTGTTATGGGAAATGACCTTGAAAGAATTCAACTGACCTCTTTTTATTGTTGTTGCTTGCTTTTCCAGTTTATAAAAAACATAACTAGATACCTACCTCCAATGCTCTGAGTGTCCTGCCAAAGAGATTTCCGAGTGGACCACCTCTCCATCACAGTCTTATCCTGGATACCACAACATCCCCATGACAACTTATGTGGAGAAATAACACTAAGAAAGTCTTTGTGTGCTTTCAACCCTCTTTAAAGAACCAAGTATTTTGGCCTTTTAATAATCACTTTGTCTATGTCTAGACTACATCCCTCTGTCAAAAGAAGGATGTAAATGAGCCCAGTCGAAAGTGCAAATGAAGCATGGATTTAAATATCCTGCACTTCATTTGCATATTCGCATCCGATCGCTATTTCGAAAAAGGGTATTTCGAAAGTAAAACCACAGTCTAGGCGTGGTTCTTTCGAACCCCCCCCCACCCTTTTTCAAAAGAACCCATATGCCTCATTTTTTCAGGAGCACGTGATCTTTCGAAAAAGGGTTGTTTTTTTTCAAAAGAACTGCATCAAGACTACGGTTTCACTTTCAAAATACCTTTTTTCGAAACAGCAATCGAACACAAATATTCAAATGAAGCCCAGGATATTTAAATCTGTGCTTCATTTGCACTTTCGATCTGGCTCATTTACATCCCTCTTTCAACAAAGGGATGTAGTCTAGACTTGCCCTTTGTCTGCTCTTGCTCTTCACTTCATTTCACTTCCCATCGCTCTGCACAGAGGCCGTCCAATTCTCCTCATCCTACTCCCATGGATAGACTCCAGTTCTCATTTTTCACTCTCTCCTACTCAGCAATACCTCCTGGCATCTCTAGTTCCTAAATATGGCTGGCTTCTTTTCCTTATTTCCAGATCTTTTTACAGGCCTTGGGTCTCTTTGGAAATTGGAAGCAGGAGCAGCAGTTAGAATCATGTGACCTGCCAGAACTCTTCAGAGCACTACCAGGTGCCCTGCAGACTGCAACTTGAGAGAGCCATTATATTAGAGATGAGTTTTATACACAAAGATTGGATCCAAATTTGGTTTGAACTTCACCAAACTTGGGTACTGAGGGGTTGTTATCTGAGATTCTTATGTAAGCCCATCTCTAATATTTTGAAATATTCACAGGGACAGGTATCTTTGGACTTTATTTTGATGACATGAGTATTCCAAGCATACAATGAACCAACATATCTTATTTACCTTCAGAAGGCGGTTCATTCTTTCTTCATTGTCCTCCATGCTGCGTAAACTGGGAGGTATATACCAGAAGCAGACATTTGTGTGCTGAGGCTAAACACAGAATAATAGTGATTTGCACAGCAAGAAATGTTTATAATATCTCAATCGCAATTAATTCCATGCCTTTCCCTCCTCTCATACATCATGGTGTGACAGCAATTATTGGCTTTCATTACTGTATACCACAGAGAGACATCATCATTATTACTGCAATTTAGACAATTTAACTCAAAGAAGACACATCCAGCTACACATTGCTCAGTGTGCCTATGCATTTGTCCCCTTCAGAGAAGCATCTGGATTCTATAGGTGCTGTCCTTTCAAGAGGTTGCATGGAGTGTGGAGTTAATGCCTTAACCGAAACAGGTGCCAACAGTAGATGACCTAGTTAATAGAGCATCTGGCTAATTTGATTTTGTTGTGTGACTGCATAATGTATAACTGGACCTATTGGTGAGACTCAGAGGTGAGTGTGAGATGGTGTAAATTAGATTTGCTTCTACTCCTTGAAATTCCCTGGTGCTCAGTTAGACTTCCTTAGAGTCCATTGAGCTCCATTATTAATGTGAGAGAATAATGGAGTCTACATTAGTTGAACTTACACAACCAGAAGACAAAAGGTGAAAAGTAGAGGTGGTCTGTTTTCCTGACTTGTCCACACAAAGACTTAGTGCATGCCAAGTTGGGGTGTGAATCTACAGTGCACTAGCTTGTTATTCACAGACTGTTTTAATCTGTTTTAAAAATGGGCTGTTGAATTTCACCTGGGTGATACAAGCTGCAATACTCCACACCGCTGCCTCATTTCACTTGTCCCACAATGATGGGAATCATAAGCAGTTCCCTTTGTAAGGTGCATATTTCTGGATCCTCCAAAACCAGATTGCACTGTGAGTAGCATCACAACTCTGTGATAAATGTACCACATATTTAAAGCCACAGTAAGTTAGACTACATACCTTTCCATCAAATACCATTTCATAGCCTTCTCTGTTCTTTATTTTATTATATAGATATTCCGCAAGGTCCAAGCACTTGTCAATTTGTGCTTCAAATCCTGTAGTCCCCTTCAAAGAGAAAAGACGACAACATTTTGTACCTCTCTGTATTCTGAATTGCTATCGTGTCTGGAATATGTGATCCTGGCTAAAGCAACGATGCAGGTCACTTCTCTGAGGTCTATCTTGGAATGATTAAAGACCTGACCCTGTGAGGTGCTGTACATCTCCTTATTTGCTCTAAACAGCTAACCCAGCTCTAGATATATCCATCTGATTTCTATAGAATAGACTGGTGATATCAGTCCAGTTCCTAATGAGCCACTATCACTGATGGGAACATTTGTGGGAGGTCTCTGCAGCGAGGCTATGGATTGGAAAGCGTGGACAGGCCTGCTGACTAGGTGGGGGCAAAAGTGGCAACTGCCCCAGTCCAGTGATTCAAAAGGGCTCCCCTGCCACCACAGGGTTCTGGGCTCTTTAAATTGCCACGGGAGCTGCGTGATGTGCTCCAGAGCCCTGGGCAGCACGCTCCAGGCAGTACTGAGGCTCCTCAGCTCTGCCTCTGCTGGGGGAATGGAGCCTGCCTCTCCCCTCTGCCTTGCCCAGGGGCCTGGTGAGGCTGTTGGCTCACTGGCTGTGGAACATATACTATACGGGTGTACCTTCTTGGTCAGGGTTGAGTCACATTGTAAGCACGCGGGGATGTTTGCACTGCTTTTTGGAGAGAGGACTTTAGCCTGCAGGGGAGGCAATCTAACACAAAAATCACCTAGAAAATGTAATAATAAAGTAAGCAGCTTGATTTCTCTTCAGCATGGCCATGTTTTTTCTCTCCTCATTGCTACTCACTAAAGGACATTAATGTGAAATTGTAATCTTTGTTTTTAGGAGCTTTTGTTTTTCCTGCTGCTTCCTCTCTAGCTCAAGTCTGTTGGGACACCATAATCATTCTGCAACACCCAGCTAATCTGCGATGCCACTAACCAAGTGCCATTATGGCTTCAAGTCAGGAGAAAAAAACTGCAGGAACAGACTGTAAACATTGAGCCTATGTTAATGTTAAATAGAAGTGGGAGATGGGGAGAAAAATAGTCGAAGAAATATGGAAATGATCTGGCCTTTAAAAAATGTTTATAAACAAAAGTCCATGCAGCACAAATCAGATTTAGCAAGGCTGCTCTGGCGCTGCAAAGCAGACTTAAAACCACTTTAAGTGGTATTTTGGACAGAGGCATCCTATTGCGGTGCAGAGTGAAGCATAGGGGGTGTTGCCAAAGAAAAAGGGATGTGGCTAGAGTTATCTTGTTCTCTTAGGGCCCCTGCTGTTACAGAAGCTTCTTGGAGGCTATTTCAACTAGCACAATTGGAAAACAGCCCTGAGGCTTCTACAAGATGCCCCTTGTGACTAGGCCAGTGCCTCATGGCTTGAGGATCAGGGAGTCACAAAGATGGCTTGCATATCATTTTGCAGGCTTTTGGTGACAGTCCCAAAGAGCTGTCCAGAATGTGTTTCAGAATTTGAATAAAGAATCTAGGGTCTTTTAAAGTCCCTTTTTTATAGAAACAATGCAGTCAACTGCAATGAACAAGCCTGGAACAGTTGGGCATAATCATATGAATTCATACATAGAAGTATTTATTGAGCAATAGTACACAAAATGATTCATGAATCAAAATGAACCAGAACTTTCAGATTTTAATTATTGTGCCCAGAATAACAAAATCACTTTGGTGTTTTCATGGTATAAAGTGGACCCTGGTGTGTTAGTCAATTATTTATCCCATTTAGTTTTAGAATTTAATTAAAATAAAAAAAATCTTTGTGTTTCCAGAAACATTCTGGCCTGATTACACTTCCATTTAAACATAATATTTATGGTGTTAGACTGTCAGAGGCAGATGCAACAATTGGTATACAATGACATGGAATCTGAATTTAAAAGTCGCATCTATTGCTGTGTAGCTCAATCAGCTCAAGGGAAAGAAAGCAGAAACATATTTTTGTCGTTGTTATTTTTCTTCCATCTCCATTTAGACATTTTCTAAAACCATGATTAAATAAAGCACAACTGTTCACTATTTTAATGCAAACAAATACATCACATACTTGCTTACCTTTGCTCTCCACATCAGCCATAGCTTGAAGACATCAACGTGACGCCCACATTGCAACGCCTTGTCTCCAGTGTCATAGGACAAATCATAGTGTTTATCTTGTTGAAAGAGGTAGGAAGCATGCATTTGATTGCAGCTCTGCATTAATCCCTTAAAGAAACAGAGACATGATTAAGGAAAATTGGCATTTGCATGATTTTATCGCTTTGCGTCTTTTGTTTATCTTGCGACCTTTCCAAATGACTTTGCAAAGCATTCCTCTGGATGAAACAGGCTGACCCAGCAGCCCTGTGGATGTTCTAAATAATTCCATGACACTCTTTGCTGAATTGGTTTTGTTTCTAAACTCTCATTCCCCATTTTTGTTCTTTCAGGGTGCAGTTTATTCCGATGCTGAAGGCACATGCAATACTCCACTCATGCTAGAAACCAGGTGCTTAGAGGGTTCTTAAATAGTAAGAAAGACTTGGGGCAGAGTGAGATGAACAAAATTCCAGGCTGCAATTTTTGGAGGCAGTTTTACTGCATCTACAAAACTTGGCTGGAGAATAGGCTCTAACTTTGTGAATGCTCTGGGGCTGGATCACTCACGGGGGAAAAATAAGTGGGTGTAGAGCACTCACCAGCACCAAGCTTCTCCTCTCTTTCCTCTCATGTGCCAGTGGCCCCACTTACCAGCTCTTCTGCTGCCTTCCCAGCACTTCCAGTGTACTGTGAAAAGTAGCTTTGTGACAGTCAAGCTCTCGGAGGGAGGAATGGGGAGAAGCAGGGAAGGGGCATGCTGGGTGAGGAGGCAGAGCAGGTGTGAGAAGACGCAGGTTGGGGCAGAAGTTTGGGGCAACAGGTGGAGTGGAAGCTAGGCCTATGTGTTGAGCACACACAGATGAGAAGATGGTGCCTATGACCAGGGGCCACTTTCTCTGAGTTAAGGTGAGGGTAGCTGATTCACAAAAAGCACAGAGCTAATAATTTTCTCTGTTTTCCTTTTTATTTGCATGTAGCACGTATTGAAAGAGCCAAATCCTGGCACTGTTGAAGGCTTCATGTATGTTTTGGAAACATGAAAGAAAAACAATTGTTTGAATTTGCTTTGTGAGACACGTTTCTCACGCTAGGTCAGGGATGGCTTTGGCTTCAGTGAGGCCAGGGCTTGTCTCACAGAACTGAACCAGAGAGCAAATAAAACCTACCTCCTCTCCTTCTGTTTAAGTGCATTTTGTGTACCAGCTGCTGTGCAGCTGTTAGCAAAGCAGTAACCAGCTTTTCAATAGCTGGTCTAATAAGTGGTGGTTATATAGTAGCTGTCCCAATAACTGGCTGCTATATGATGATTACAAGCTCGAAGGATAATTCTTCCAGTTGTAGCTGTCCCGATGCTAAATAAAATGTGTAGCTGTTATTAAATGTGAACTCCCACTTCCTTTTTTCATTCATTGCTGCACAGAGTGGGTTTATAGATATACCAGTTTATATATCAACATTGGGTTGTAATGTCTAGCCATTTGCTTGACCACAGACATCTGAAAGAGCAATAACTCGTGGACACTGTGCCAGGTATTTCTAGTACAACTGTTATTTGTAAGTGGGTTGTACTACACTTACATCCACACACAACATTGGATGTGAGGGGTTCTGCCTTCACTCACATTCACACACAACATTGGATGTGAGGGGTTGCATGGCTTAATCAAAGTACACAGCTGAGTTCAATGTATTTCAAATACAAAGTCACCCAAACTCTATAAAGCTGTAGTCATTAATTTCTCCTGGACAGCTGTTTTAAATCCTTTCTGCGTTTGTCGACTGAACACGTGCCTAGAGGCGTGTTTCTCACTTTCATCTGTAATCTTCATCATATTAACATACATTAGCCATGACACTGTTATAGAAAAGGCATCCAGAACATTCCAGGGAAAAACGCCAGAAAGGAGTAGAGTACAAAGAGAGGAAGACATACCTCTTCCCTAACGAGCAGGGCAGAACACTGCAATGGGACACCCATCATCTTGTGGGGGTTCCAAGTCACAGAATTGGCCCTACAACAACAAACAACATTAAACGGAGATGTTATGCCACATCCCTGAAATCATTGAAGCATTCAGTAATAGAGAAAGTTAATAAGGCTCTTATGGGCCTCAAAGATGCAAAGCTGAAAATAAGCATAAACGGCTTCCAGATGAGTGATGATTAATATTCACACAGGATCCCAGAGGCAGTGCTAGCCCGTTGGGGGCTCTAAGCTAGAATATTGTGGGGCCCTCTCTACATACAAAATAAAAAGTGAATGGGGGCATTCTTTAGCTGCTCAAGCCCTAATCAATAGCTTATTTTGCATATGCTTAGCACTGGCTCTGCAGGGCCCAGATATAGGATCTTTACTGACACTGTGGGGCACTGATGTACATTTACTCAGGCAGATTACTCACCAAAGCAAGGGTTGTTGTAGAGTTAGGCCGAAAAGGTTCTGGACTATGGCTCTGAAGAGTTAATACAGGGTTAAGGTGCTATACATCAGACTTTGTGAGCACCAGTATTCTTGTTACTCATCTACACCAGGGGTGGGGAACCTTTTTTGGGTTGGAAGCTGCTGACCCACAGAAAAGTCAGCCGCAAACCTCCCCCCCCCCAAAAAAAAAACCCCAAACAAACAAGGGAGAAGCAAACTCCCTTTCTCCCCCGACTGGGCAGAAAGACACTTCCTGCATTCCTATCACACACCAGAGTCTAGGGGTATGTCTACACTACCCCGCTAGTTCGAACTAGCGGGGTAGTGTAGACATACCCCTAGACTCTGGTGTGTGATAGGAATGCAGGAAGTGTCTTTCTGCCCAGTCGGGGGAGAAAGGGAGTTTGCTTCTCCCTTGTTTGTTTGGGGTTTTTTTTTTGGGGGGGGGGGAGTGGGAGGGTTAGCTTCCTTTGCTGAGGGTGCTTAAGAGACAATACTGAATGTCATTTCCACTCAGTATAGACAGGGCTTATTACAGTGCTAAAATTTGGCCGGGAAATTCAAATCCCGGGCTTCATTAGCAAGTTTGGTATGCATACATTACCCCGCTAGTTCGAACTAGCGGGGTAGTGTAGACATACCCTAGCAGATTTTGTGTGCTCCAGCCCCATAGTCGGGCAGTAAGGGAGGCGGGAGTGCCAGCACAGGCTCCCCAATGCTGGGAGAGGGCCATGAGCCTCGGGGGACAGATTCAGGCAAACCATGAGCTACATCCAGCCCCCGGGCCTGAGGTACCCCACCCCTGACGCACACTTTACAGGCAAAGAGTGAATGTGTTAAAAACACTTCCATGCTTTAGGACCAGCCTGCAAGAGTGTGTAGGCAGCTAAGATGCAGATAGGTGACTAGTGGGACCTCTAATGAGAATCAGTGGGAATTAGGCACCAAATCTGTTTGGGCCTTTTCAAAAGTGGCAAAACAGGTTTGGTGCCTACTTCCCACTGATTCCCATTAACTCCCACTGCTCTGAGCATCAGCTTTCTGAGGAGACACATTAAAAAATTCCATTAGGGGCTTAACTTCATCTTTGCACACCTTTGAAAATCTGTCCCCAGATCACTTTTATAATGAGATCTAGATGCTTCAGTAAATTTTTTCCATATGGTCAGATCCTCAGCTGGTATAAGTTCTCAATGCTCCATTGACTTCAAGTGAGCTATGACAATTTGCACAATCTGAGGTCTGGGCCCAAATGATCATGGGTAATGCTTTTTGAGATAATGCCATATTCTTCTTTCATGCTCTTAGCCACTTATCTTGGTTACCAAGATGCTAGAAGAAAATCAGAGAGCATGCTGAAATACTTGTTGGCATGCATTCACACAAGCAGGATAAAAACACCAGGTCCGATGCCTGGGGGATTAATATTACACGCTCCTCAAGATGCTGTAACATAAAAGAGATTTATTGGCATAGAAAAAGCAATGCTGCTAGTTAATCACATCACTGCAAATGGCTTGGAAAGGGAGATAGGAGCAGTAACAGGGATTCAAAAATGTTTTGGGGAGCTTATTTCCCTATATTTAGGTTTTTTAAAAATAAATCATTTAAATACAAGAGGTTCTTTTTGAAGGCTAACACGTCTTCAGAGAGTTAAAAAAGCCCTTTTCTGAAGCATAGCAAATAGTGGCCTAGCATTGCTTGCAGAAGAGTTTAATTTAAACCAACACAAGACACTGTATCCTAAAGATCTCATCTGGTTATAATGTGAGAACATTTGGAAAAGTATTTTTAGACCACGGCAAGGATGAAGAAGAATATATAGAGATGCAAAGTTTCAAATATGATTAAATAAAAACCCAATCCAATATTTGTTTAGCATATGAAAGGGTTAATTTGTGCCTCTCATCTTCAGAACTGGGCAAGTTTGAAAATTGGGTCCACAGAAGGCAAGAAACACAGCTCCAGAGCTGGATACAAGCTTAGTAAAATCTAGAATGAATGCCTAATCTGGGTTCCAAGACTGTTCTCTGAATACGATTGCCTGATTCATAATGAACATACATAAAATTCATTATGTTAATATTTATTAAGTGTAGGACTGCCAAATGCACTAGAAGAGCTTAGAGCTATATTCATTCCTAGCTGTATAAAAACGAGTTGTCCTGTAGCACCTTAGAGACTAACAGCTATATATAGCATCATGAGCTTGCATGGGCAAAACCTACTTCTTCATCATAGCACTATATATAGCTATTTGTTAGTCTTGAAAGTGCTATAGGACCACCTGCCGTGGCTGCTTTCCCACGGTGTTGTTTCTTGCAATATGGGTAGCTGGAAGGACCCACTCCTCCTGCTCCATCAGATACAAAAGAGAGTGGATCTGTCGACTCAAGAGCAGGCTGCAAAGCCCATCTGTTTGTCTCGGCCTTGGGGGAGAGGGAGCACAAGGAAAGTGGGTGAACCTTGAAGGATTGAGGTTGTAGAGGGGTGAGTGGAGAACTGGTCAGTTGTTCATTATTTTATTTTTGTTCAGTGGTTGACTTGTTATTTGTTAATTCCAGGGTTTATATTTTGGAGGACTACTGATGTCTACTGCACAGGATTATGCTCTTTCTTGCTGAGGAGGGGGCTGTTTAATTGTATAGATCTGAATAAATCAGTAAATTAGGGGGTGCAAATATCTAGAGGACCAAAATTGCTACTGCAAAAACAGATGAGTGTTTGGCAATCTGGCCTATGAGGTATTTTTCTTTCTCTGTTTGGAAATCAATTGGTAAGGTTTGTGAAGAAATGTTTTAGGATCTGGCTAGAGGAAGGTGCCCTGCATATGGCACATGACCATTGCCATTTTCTCTTGGATTGCTTCCCACTCACCTAAAATATAGATTAATATATTCTAAGGCCGGAAGAGACCATTGTGATCAATGCAATGACATGCAGTTGCAAAATGCGGTAGCTAGTGGAATACTTCTTTGCTGCCTTTCCTGCTATTTAAATGGGACTGTGCAGAGCCTGAAGCAAAGTCTGTAGGGAATACTCTTTCACAGGCAGCATCTGGCTACCTGGCCCAGCTCTTTGAGTGTTTGGCAGCTTTTAATCAACTCAGAGTCACTCATCTGTTTAGGATACTGGAGTTAATGATCTACACTTCCATTCAAGCCTATTAATCTCCTTTGCTGTTAGAGCTGAACTTTTATCTGTTTCACAGAGAACCCGAAACAAATTCCTTAAGGTGCCCCTAGACAATGGAGATGGCTCAGTCTTTTTATAGCAAAAGGGTTGTTTACCAGCAGCAACGCCCAAATATCAATTTTCTGCCTAAAGAATTGCCTAGACCTTCAGGTCAGCCATTTTTCTAAAATGTATTGCAGTTGTGCACAAAGTATTTTAGTGAATTACATTCACAAGGATATTGAAGTCAACTATCGATATGTGCTTCAATAAAATAATGGCTGACAGTCACATGCAAAGATGAAAGTTACATAGACAAAAATGAGACCAATTGTTTTCTTTTGGAAATTTGCTAATGGACCACCTTGAAGATTTTGTTTGATCAAGAATTGGCTTTATTTGGTATCTAGTGATTATTAGAAACTGAAGGCTGAAATGAATGTTCCCACTCACTTTGCAACATCTAAATGTGGACAACTTAGTAGGACATCTAAATCTCACACGTGGGTGCTCAGACTGGAATTTAGATGCATAAATTCCCATTTAATGTAACTAAGCGCCAATATTAGCATCCACACATAAGCTCTGAAAGCTACCCAGATTTGCAAAATTGGCACACAGAGTATACAAGTCCTGTGGAAATCTGAGTAGTTACTCTGTCTTCCCTTCCACCCCCCAGCCCAATCATTTACCATGGGAAGAAGGAAAAGGAAATGGCAGGATTCCCATATAATTCACGGCTTCATACCAGGAGATGACCCTTACCAGAACACTAGATCTAAATCCCTGGAATGCTGGGGAAGTTCTAACTGAGTTGGAGGGCTGAATTAATGACTTAGGCATCTCTGTACCAGAGATTGAACCAGAACTTCTAATGCAAACTTCTCTGAATTTGGGAGAAATTCAGATTTAGCTCCTATCCTGGACCCAAATTTTGTGATTTAGATTTCTCTTTAATACAATATCCTGAAAAGCAGCAGGAGCAGGGATTTCGACATCCTGGCTGTTTTGCAGTATATCCTGCTTAAGCACAGTGTGCATATATTTAGTGGTAAGAGTTTTCATTAACAAAAATGTGTCTAGCTTTTAAAAGTCCTTTTTAAGTTCTAAAGGCTTTTAAGTGATCTGCTGGAAAAGACTTTTACTAGCTGCTTTCCAAATTCAAGATAAAAACAGTTTTGAAAAAGAGTAATAAGTTCATGCATCTGAGAAAAGGGGCTTGATCCTCATAGGGAGACCTGAATACAGGGTCTGCAGAAAAAGAATGGAAGGAAAAAATAATGAAACCACTAAGAGCATCATGAAAATTAAGTGAAACCAAAGGCTTGTAGACAGGAAAAAAGGAAGTTGGGAGTAGAATTGAAATTTAACTGGCATGGACCTGTGGTTTTGTTATAAATTGGTAAGAAGTAGGATGGGAATAATACCCTAATCTTAACCAACAGAAACTTTAAAAAAGTTTCTAGACATGTACTTGTTCAGGACTTCATTCAAGCTTATTCTTTATTGCTACTGAACTGGTTCATCATTTCTGTGTGTATTATAGATGCTTTCATCCTGGGTGGAAGTCAAAGCCTTGTACACACAAACCTCAGCATTTTCATGATCCAGTTTAAGGATTTAATTATATGAAGCACATTCAAACAGTGTGGAAATCTGAGCTGTTGCACATATGAGCTGAGTTTTGCAACTACAGAAAAAGAAACTCTGAATTGGATGTGTAAATTAAATATTCCTAGCAAGTGTATGCATGACATCTCTTCTGATAAAATTCTAGCTAGAATCCATAGTAGCGTTACAATCCAGTGCATTAGGGTATTGCATAAAAACTTATTGTACTGTCTTGGCATTGTGATGTGCTGATATTTCATAGGTACTTGAGGATTTATAAATGAGCTCCCCAATAAAACTGGAATGATTTCAGTCTGGTAACCCTGCTGCAAGGTCTCCAAGGTTCAGTTCTTTTGAAAATGCAGTTGTGTTTTTTTGGACAGGTTCATAAATGAATCACACGAAGACCATTAGGGAGCTCAGAATATGGTTTGAAAGGGATGAATCACAAATAGGAACTATACATTATATGAACCAGAAAACAAAGTCACATCACATATTTTTAGTCACACAGCTTATCGAATAAAGGAACTTAGCAATGTTATTTCAGTTGAGAAAGGATAGCTTGAAAGATTGCTTCATGCTATATCTTGGACATTAAATTATAATAATGAATAGGACTGGTTGATTTTTATTTATAAGCATTTCTGTGGCAATCATAAGTGTATTGGCACACTTAATTTGTTAATAAATCATACCTTTCAACTCCATTTAATTTCCATTTATGTTTCCTAGACATCAGCAGCCCGCCACCCCACGCTGCCTGAAAAACAAGATACAAAAGCTTAAAAAGCAGCTAGTTTTGTATTTTTCTAGTGCTTGCATCCAGATGTGTGAGCAATTTTATATCTGCTCCTTTTCTTGCTGAACTCACATAGCTCTAAACATCTCAGATGGAGCTATAGTTTAGGGCCTGGATAATACTTTGTACTAATGGTTTACAGCTCTCTCTCGTGGTTTGTTCCATGAGGCTGTCACTGGGGTTGCACAGGATACTGGCCTGTGTGTCAGCCAGCATCACTAGCCAACATAATTCCTCCTTCACCATGGCCATATATGACATCAGAATGCTAAGCCAGCCCCAATTTGTACTGGTGGGGAGACAAGAAGTGACTAGATACACACAGAAAGGCAGGCCAGATGATTGGGGTGTGGGGCAGAGAGGACAATTTGCCCAGGGGCTTGGACAATTATAAAGGTTCACAGGCCTCCAGCTGCTGCCACTGGCAGTGCAGCGGAGCTAAGGTAGGCTTTCTGCTCACCCTAGCTCTGCACTGCTCCTGGATGTGTCTAGGAGGTCTTTTCAGCACAAGGGGGAGGGAAGTCTCCACACACTGCCCCTGCCCCAAGTGTCATTGTTCAGGAACTGAAACGAGCGGGACCTCCCAGATCCCACCCCCCCTCATACTCCAACCTCAGCCTACTGAAGGTGAGGGAAGGGGCGGGGGGAGAGAATGCAAGTGATGTAGGAGGGGGGATGGTGTGAGTAGGAGTGGGGTCTTGGAGAAAGGGTGGGACAAGGACATGGCTTCAGTGAAGGGGTGAGGTAAGTGCATGGTCTGAGGGAAGGGGTGGAACAAGGGTCTTTGGGGTTGTGTGATTAGACAGGTGGCAACCCTACTGGGCAGGCATGGTTGTGCCAGAAGAGTGTGCCCAGCACCGCAGGCAGCAGCTTGGTGGGCACCAGCCAGCAGAGATGCAGCACCATCCAAAAGTCAGGCGAGCCACATCCACATGGGTGCAGCTTTCGCATGCATGGGGACCCACTGACTCTTCTGCCCTGGGCCCCAGAATTGCTCTCAGCAAGCCTGCAGAAGGGCTTTCCCCTTTCTGTTACAATGACATTGATACCGTGGGATGGCACCCCCCCTGCAGAGATGGGTTTTTCATCAGAATTCCAACCAACTAACTCTCCTCAAACCTCCTCCCCTTCCCGCCCCACTGTCTCCCACCCTGTTTTTTCCTGAAGAGTTCTGGGATAGGAGAGATCATCTTTCAACATGTTTGCAGGAAAATGAAACACAGTGAGAACCCCAATAAAGTCAGTTAATGTTCGAAGATCAAATTGGCAAGATAGTCTAGCAGATGTGATTGGGATCTTGCAGCCTTTTCCTCACTTGTTTATTTTTAGGAGTGGCTGGAAAACAACAATTCTATTTCATGAAAAATTTCAAGATTTTTATTAATTCCAATGCAAAACAAAAATAAGACCATTAGACCTTTTTGGTGAAGAACCCGCAACAGGCCTCCGCGTACCCCAGAACAACTGAACAGATGCCATAGGGACTTGGAGCCATGTCTCTCACAGCCTGCATGAGCATACTAACCAGTGGGCTCACTTGTTGGCAGGTTTCCCCATCTTTTACCATGCCCCCCACATTCCCAAAATTTAATTTTGGATTGGAGAAACTCTCTGGGTAATATTGTCACTGAAACCACTATGTTTCTATGCAACATTTCAGCCACCACGCTATGGGAATTATTTATTTATTTTACACTTGCCACAGAAGATGGGCCTGTGTGGGGTATGGCATTTTCTCACAATGATGATGCCTAGAGATGTAAAGGTGGAGGCCATGATTTTCAAACTACGATTCCTATAATGAGTCACTTAAATGCATGTTTAAACAGCTGAAAGTGGCCTGATTTTCAAAAGTGCAGAGCACCAACAGCTCTAAGCGCCCTCACTTCAACGTCTATGTGCCCAGCCTCTTTTTTCAGATCAAAGGAGTGGAAAATTAGGTCCTAGCTCATTAGCTCTCATTAGAGGAACCAAGTATGTGATCATCTGTGGAAAATGACAGTGGACACGGATGGGTGAATTCACATTGGCACACTTTGTAATCCAGTCTCTAGAGCAATACAGTACTTACATCTACGTGCATCCAGATTTTGTATTTCTTGCAGATGTCTGCAATAGCGATGAGTGGATCAAATGCACCATACACTGTAGTTCCTGCTGTGGCACTGACTAGGAAAGGAACAAATCCCTACATAAAGGAGAGAAATATTCCTCAGAGAGAGAATATTATTTGTCAAACATGGAACCTACCTGAATTTGCAGAAGCTCTATTTTCTTCTAAGTAGTCAGGCCATTGTGTAAGTAAAACTTCAATTGTAGCGCCACTGTGCTAACCCAGAATGAGTACATGAGTGTCTCCCAGCTGACAATCCTGCTTTGTATTGTCAGGCAAAGAAAGTTGCCATTTGGAAATCAGGGGCTCATTCATGTTATTTTTGCACTTTTTTTGGCTTTCTCGTTTTAGATGTTTGCGATATTACAGTTTCTGCCTTTAGGTGGCAGCAAACTTCCAAGGCCAACACTGCCATTTATGTAAATAAAGATGTATAAGTTGTATAAGCCGCTGAATGAACATTTCCACACCTGACTGTTTGAAGTAAAAAATGGATACTCTGTTATGACATGTAGGACTAACAAACCAAATTGTCTTTATGCATCATTGGACAATAAATCTTTTTGGCAAATTTGAAGTAGCCTATATTATGCTGTACCTTAACGTTGAATCCAGCACATGCTAGTGTCTGTACATCATATAGGAAGGCACATTCCCTACCCCAAAAATCTATGTTGTAATGTCCTGATCCTGCAAAGGTTTATGTTTACTTTCCACTTTTAGTACATGAGCAGTTCTGAAGCCATTGGAACTACTGTACTCAAAGTGTGTAAAGTTAAGTAAGTCCTAAGACTGCAATATTGTGGTCTAATATAAACATATGAAAATTATACAAAAATACAGTTTTCTTAATATGTAATGAGCAGCTGATAAAAAGGCCTGAAAAGGCCCAACTTCCTCCCCTTCCCCCCTTCCCCTCCCCCCTTTGTAAGTTTTTGGTTTAATGTTCTGGGTTTTTTTATAGTTTCCCTTATCCTATGATTTATTTTAAGCAAAACAAGTTTTTCCAAAGACCAGTTTTTCTTGTGAACTTTGATCTCTGTATTTTAAAATATTACTGTACAGCAACTCTTGCCATAGCCACAATATTAAAATAAGCTGTATTTTATTTTTAAGCTTTAAAAGGACACACACAAAAAACTGCATCTTGAAGAATACATTTAATTCTTTGAATGAACTCATCTTGATTTTGTAAAACCAAAGAGTAGTCCTGTGACACCTTAGAGACTAACAAAAATATATTCAGTATCATGAGCTTTCATGGGCAAAACTCACTTCTCCAGATGAGCAGTCCACTCTCTAATCACCTTAGAGATTAACATACACCCACACCCACATATATATATTTGTTAATTTCTAAGGGTGTGTCTACACCATAGCACTATTAATGTTGAGCTGGAGGATTTCTTATTCCAACTCCTGTAACCCTCATTTTACAAGGAGTAAGGGAAGTGGAAGGAAGAGTGTTCTTCCTTCAACTTCCTGCTATATAGACAGCGCCAAAAGCTGAATTAAGCTATTTCGACTTCAGCTACGTAATTGAAGTAGCTGAAGTTGCGTAGCTTAATTAGAGTTTTGCTCTGCTGTGTAGATGTGCCCTAAGGTGCCACAGAACAACTTGTTGTTTTTAAATTGCAGACTAACATAGCTACTCCTCTTGAGTTTGTGACTTTAATAAGAATATTTTCAGCTTTTTAAAAAATCTTCAATTCCAAAATGTCTTTTCATTTACAGCCAACCTTCAGCTAGTGTTTGTATCACAGACTGAAGAGATTATATTGTAAAGCATAGAAGGAAGGCAAATGCCTTAAGACGGCTATGAAACATCTTTAAACATATATTTTATTCAGCACCTCTAACTGTTCTCATTATGCTATTGTGTTTCATGTAAATAAACCTGCAACAGAACATAAGACAGACTAGCTCAACTCTCCTCTTAAAAAACATCAAACAAATTGAACAAAATGGCACTGGTTTCCTATGCGTGGTGGTGGGAAAACCTACACCATTTCTGAAGGCACCTGCTAATATACTTACCTTTTGTTTGGCTTCAATAATTCTTCTTTCAAGGTCTGATGGGATCATTTTCCCTCTGCAGAAAGGATAAGGTCATATTCAAGTTTCAGTTTTGAAATCAGCCCCTTTCAATCACTTTTCCACTTAAATAACCCCAGACGGGAATGTAATTAACCCTTGTGCACCACTGAAGCTCTCAAAGAAGGCATTTAAATGGAACCTACTCCTTGACCTGGCCTTCAGCACTATGCTGAATTTCATCCTAAGTTAGTTGTTAGCCAGTTATCACCAGTGGGGGAAAGTCACATCCACAGAGAGCCTAGTATTTGGTGAAGCCCCACTTAGTGCTGTATTAAAAGTCGTGAAGGATACGTCCATCAAGGGCTATTAGCTAAGATGGGCAGAGACTGTGTCCCCAGCCTCTGTTTGGCAGAAGCTGGGAATGGGTGATCTGGGCTGGATCACCTGTTCTGTTTTTTCCCTGTGGGACATTTGGCATTGGCCACTGTCAGAAGACAGGATTCTGGAATCGATGGACATTTGATCTGACCCAGCATGGCTAATCTTAGGGCAAATCTTTTGGTTCCTGTGTGGTTCTGTAGCCAGTGAAAAGCTCCCTGTATGTCCTGCAGAGGAGCCCCAACTCTGTGGCTGCCACTGATGGAGTCTGCTACTCCACCTCCCACTGGCTTTCAGGCTCTTGTTCAGGGAGCTCTGCACTTTCACAGAGAATCCTCAACAGGGCCACCCAAAGGATTCAGGGGGCTTGGGGCAAAGCAATTTTAGGGGCCCTTTCCTGGCACTCCCTGTCTCAGACCTTGGACTTCAGACATTCTCATGGGGCCCCTTGTGGGGCCCGGGGCAAATTGCCCCACTTGCCCACCCCTCTGAGCAGCCCTGATCCTCAAGTCAATTGCCTGGCCCCAAACAATGAGACCAGCTGATTTTTCAAAAATTCAGCAATTGGGGAGGGGGAAGAAGTTTTCTGCCTGCTAAGAGCAGTTGATTCCCTTCTCATTACTTCTCTACACCCTCAGGAGAACACTGACTTTTATTTGCAATGCAGGTTAAAATCACCCTCAGTTTAATTCCAGTGAGTTCAGTGGACTGATGCGAGGGACAAATTTGCCTCAGAGCAACTACTCCATGGCTTGATCTGGTTACCTTCCCACTAGTTTTGAGAAGGGCATGAAAAAGAAGCGTCTGGTCTAGTTTAGAAGAAAATACATCTTCAAATATATTGGGGTATGTCTACACTACAGCACTAATTCGAACTAACTTAGTCAATTCGAACTAAGCTAATTCGAACTCGTGCATATAGACTTAAAAATTAGTTCGAATTAGCGTTTTGCTAATTTGAACTAGCATGTCCACACTCAGTGGACCCTGAACCGAGGTTAAGGCTGGCCGAAAGCAGTGCCGGCAGGGCATCAGATTAGGACTTAAGAGTGTGGAGCTGCTGCCTCAGGCTAGCCGAGGGCTGTGCTTAAAGGGACCCGACCCCCACCCTGGACAGACAGTTCTCAGGGGTTCCCCGCTTGCAAACCAGTCCTGGCTTGGAGTGCCCTGAGTGCCCACACTCGGCACATCACAGCACTCAGCCATCAGCCCGGCTGCACTTGCCGCAGGCTGCCATCCGGGGGGGGGGTCAATCAAGGGGCTTCAGGAGAGTTTCCACCCCGAGAAGCCCACAGAGCCACCCCAGTCCTCCCCATCGGGGGCTCGTACCCCATTCCTCCCTCACCTCCTTCCACTCACCCCTCCCTAGCCCCTCTTCCTGACGTACAAAATAAAGGACACGTGTGTTCAAAAATAGAAACTCTCTTTATTGAACAAAACTCAGGGAAACTGGGAAAAGGAGGTGGGAGAGGGGAAGAAAGAGGCTGGGAGAGGGGAGGGCAACTAAAATGATCAGGGGTTTGGAACAGGTCCCATATGAAGAGAGGCTAAAGAGACTGGGACTTTTCAG